TTCAACATGGGTTTATATTGCAAGTAAATTTGTTATCAATTAATTCATCTGTAATTGGAACACAATTTAACACAGCTCCTTCAGGCCCAACACAGCTATTTTGAAACTAGGGGAGCAGAAAAATGGAAAAGAGACTATATTGCTTTAAGTGAAGAAAGTTTTCCAGCCCTTAGGTAGCCTCATTTCCGGGCCCTAAGATAAAGTATAGCTGGAAGTGATTGCTCCTTAATCATTATCACAAGGCTGTAGGGGAAGCATCGAGTCAGTATGGTAAGTGGCTGTATGCAGTACTTGTACATGGGTGACAGTGTTGATTTGGTGTGGTAGCAAATTTTACTCATCACACTTAAGCCTTCTTCTCCACCATAAATTCTTAAGAGAAGAGGCATTTGCCTTTTTCAATATCCACGAGTATAACTAGGAGGCAGATTTCAATAAATATTTGTTCATTTGTAACTTTGCTTTTCTTTTTTTAAAGTTAAGATAAAGCTTGGTTGATTTGCTATCCTTCACTGCCTTTAATAGAAGTACTGAAGCAGGAACCTCACCTTCCTGTAGTCTTCACATTTCATTTTGGACTTTAGTGCAAATTTCTTTGTAGCAATCAATTGCTTTCCTTTTATTTAAGCTTTTTCAGTTTCTGGGGACTTCAAACTCATACTGTCATTACTATTGCTAAGATCATAAATGTGTGGTGGTTTAAAGTACACAAGCATTTTCTCTGACCGTTCTTTACTTTGCTGAGTATGATAATATATGTAGCTATTACAATATAATTCAGTTAAGAGCCATCTTTTAAGACTCTCTTGTTAATCTCTGTTATAAGACACAGTAATTTCAATATCTTAGAGAATTGTTAATTCTTCAATGGAAGTAACTTTAAAAATGCTTTTCCAGATCTGATTGGCATCAGTGGACCACATCCCTATCGTTTTAAAGATGATTGTATTTCTTTTGAGAACTGTGCCTTTCTAACATGAAGGAGCTTTGTGGTAGTACAACATTCCATATCTTGATTATGTCACCGTCAGCATTCTGGGTGTGATACTGTGTTATATAGTCTTGAGGGATTCTTCCATTGAAGGCAAATGGAGAAGGAATTCATGGGATCTTTTCTGTATCTTCTCAGGATTGCATAGGAATCTACAGTGATCTCAATACTAAAAGTTTAATCGAAATTACACATTGGTAATTCAAAGTAAACTCTGCACCAGCATTTTATAGTGTGATGTGACTTATCAATGCTGCTGTTTAGTGAATATTTTATACTCTTTTATTATTTTATAGTGTAACTAATATTTTAACAGGGTTTAGAAAGGAAGGAGAGGCTAAGAGAACAGTAAGTTGAAGGCAGCTGTTAAATCCCTTAGATGTAGTTTTGTTATAAATTCAGTTGCTTCTAAAATCAAATAAGAGATTGGTTAGGCCAAATCATTTCTGCTGAGTTACGAGAGAACAGTGTTACTCTGATGTGTGAACCACATGAAGAATAGCAACTTACTTTTTGTTGATGCTTATTTTTACAGTGAGCATTGTAAGCAAGTATCCTATATCAATATAGTACAGGGCATGGTGGTGGATATCTAAGTAAGGGAGTTACTAAGAGAAACCTGAGAGTAAACGTTACCAATTAAGAAGTTTTATTTATTTCCTTTAATTTTTAATTTTTATTGTTATTATAAAGATGATATATAGAGGGGTTACAGTTACGTAAGTCAGGTAAAGAGTAAATTTCTTTTTGGAAAATGTCACCACTTCCCTTGTTTTCTCCCAGTTTTTCCCTCACATCACCTACACCTCTACCTACAAGTCATATAGTTCATTTTCAACAGTGTCTAGTGAGTACTACTGCTGCATGTGTTCACCATTTGTCCCAACATTTCTGTGAAGTTAAGATGTTTTAATAACACAGAAACCGTGGGCCTTCTCCTCCACATTTTGAATTTAAATCTAAATTTAAGGAGCAAAGTTTTGATCTGATTAGAGTAGCTCGTGCCTTTACAACTTTCAAAGTCTAACAGGAGGGGAGGGGAAAGAAACTGTGCTTTGTAGATAAGAGCATGTGAAGCCTGTTATATAATGGAATATATTGTTTTGATTCTTATATACTACACAGTGGTAGGGGTATTCATTGATCTTAGCAAAATGTTTTTAAAGTTAAGTCATAGCCTTTGCCATGAGAGACTGACAGAGAAGCAGCACAATGGAAGATCTCCTAAGTCCTGAACTTGAATTTTCTCACAGGGTGAAGAAGGCAATGTTACGTGTTGAGAAATGCAGAGACAAAGTTCAAAGGTTTGCTGATGATGATGAGGAACAGAGTTTAAGTTGTATTGTAGGGGTGCGGCTGGTCTGCGCTGTCCTCTCAGTGGCTGGCAGAAAGCTCTGGGTCCTTCTGTTGTTCAGGCTCAGACAGTGCAATTGTGGACAAGTATAGACTGCATGTAAGCTTGGTGCAAAGTCAGCAACTGCTGTCATTTTAGATGTCCAGAATTTAACCTCTGGTTTCTCTTTCTTAGGGGAGGGAAGGGATAGTGGGAGAAAAACCAAGGAGGGGGGGGTAACAGTGCTTGACAAGAAATGTACTCACTACTTTACTCATGTAACTGTTAACTTCTTTGCGCACCATCTCCACAAGAAAATAAAATTTAAATTAAAAAAGGAGATCATTGTGTTCATTTAATTTACTAAAAAGTTGTTTGCATATTTTCAAAAAAGTGATTTAAAAGTGGAGGATAGTGGAAGTTGGTGAGGGCAGAAAGAAGGAGTAATTTTAGATAAAAAAAATAGTTGCAATCCACATCTCACTTGCATCTAACTTTGCAATTTTTAGAGTTTTCCTATGCCTATTTAAAAACTATTGGACCAAATACTCTCTACATAATTACACATCTTACATTATTTCTACTGAAATTTTTTTTATTATGGACATTATCCACATTATAAGTCTGTCTGTCTCCCTCTGGTAAGCATTTAAGGATTATATAACATTATCTTGGATTGAAGTATATAGTCTTTTAAACAAATGTCTAACAGTGGTTCAATGGCTAAGTATATTAAGCAGATCAGTTCTTAGTTTTTACTCTTATAAATGCAAAGAATTATACCTAAATCTTCGTATTTCAGGTGCTTTATTAATTTATTTGCACTATTTGCCTATTTGTCTAGTGGCTATTACAAGCATTTTTGAAATAATGCTGATGTACATAAAATAGATTTCTTCATGGTCCATTGTCTAATACATTTTTATGCCCATCAATTTGTCAGCATAGAATTTTTACATTTTAGGGTTGCCTTTCTCCTTTGAATGTTTTCTACTGTTTGTATGCTTAAAATATACTAATAGTAAATGAAAAATTTCACAATAATAATCAGCTCTAGTGTCTGATAGGATTATATATTCATTTTTCCCATAATTTTTTTTTCTGAGTGAAAGAAATATACCCTTCTCTCTTTCCCTCTCTCATTCTCTCTTTCTGCCTTATACACATGTATATACAGATTACAAAAAACTATACATACAGTTTTAACTCAGTTCTTAGCCCAGTATACAGTAGATGCCTCGTTTATGTTGCTGAAACTTTTTAATGGAATTTGAGCCTTTGGTTCAATTGTCTTTGTACCCTGGATTTTGGATTCCATGGGACACTTTTTAAAATCTTTATAATACATTTCTTTTCCGGGTGTAGTTAGCTTAGTCTCTTATCATTTATAGCCAGAAGTGCTGATTGATACTACTCTTGTTGTCTAATCAACTGACCTAAGCCTTCCCAGTCCTAAGTGATTATGGCTTCTTTCAGAGAGAGTGCCTTTCCATTCACATTGGTCAAGCTGGTGTCCAGATTGGGGATGCTTGTTGGGAACTCTATTGCCTGGAGCATGGAATCCAGCCAGATGGCTTTGTTGACAGTAAGCAGGATTCCTTGGAAAATGTTCTCGTGGACCGTGGGAATTCTTCTTCTGATACCTTCTTTCATGAGACAAGCACTGGCAAGCATATGCCCAGAGCACTTTTCGTGGACTTAGAACCAACTGTTATAGGTAACACAGATTTGATGTTCTAATACACTTAACAGGGTCTACAATCAAGCAGATCAAGTGGGTGGAATTAATGAGATTGTCTGTACAAGATCATATGAATCTTTTCCATAGTTAGAGCCTCATTCAGTGGGTATTTTGGGTGAATAGCATGACAAACATACCCAAAAGTTAGACTTGGTTAGCTTTCTTCTCCTGTGTGATGAAAGTAATTAAACCATGTTAATTTATGTACACATATGTCATGACGAAACACTGAACCTTTTTCTGAGTCTGAGAGCCAGTACTTAGAAACTATTGGGAAAGAATGTGAAAGTTTGTCATAAAGAGAAGAATTATAAAGAGAAGAATGTTTGAAAAGCATTCAAAAGACAGAAAACACCAAATAAATCTACAAATTATGGGGAAATCAATAAGATTTTTATGATTAGTAGAGGCAGACTCTGTGACATTCTGGGTCAATTCTCTTAAAATCCAGCTCCAAAAATACTGGAAAGAGAAAGGAGGTTTTACTGATGAGACAAAAGCTAGAGAGATGGTTAAGTTTGGGGTTGCTATTGTATATTAGCCGTCTGTTCTTTAATAATTACTCTCAAATTCAGCTCAAATTTCTGTAGTTTTCAGCCATCACATTTGTTTTAGCAGCTGTAGGAACCTAATACAAGATAGGTGGTAGCAAAGCACACTTTCAATTTACATGTAAAGAATTCTACCTTTTCTTAGATTAAGAGAGGCTAATTTTGCAATATAAATCCCAATATTTTACCATCACGATGGGAGAAAGAAGAGGAAGCAGAGTATGGAGTCCTGTGAGGTTTAATGAGGGCCAACAGTAGCACCGAATGCACGCACTGATCTCTCTCCCTCTGCAGATGGGATCCGGGTGGGAAAGTACCGTTCACTCTTCCACCCAGAACAGCTGGTTAATGGAAAGGAGGATGCTGCAAACAACTATGCACGAGGTCACTACTCTGTGGGCTCAGAGGTCATCGATCTTGTGCTAGAGAGGATCCGAAAGCTGGTACGTAGCTCCCCTTTCCTTACAAGCAGGCCATGCATGGGTATTTGAAATCCTGCAGGGTTCACTAACATTATCTATCACCACCACCACCACCATCACCACCCACCCAGCCAGCCCTCTGGGCCTGAGCATCCCTGTGGGTAATCAAAACTGGGAAAAGGCCCTCATGGTGGCTTTGATGACACTCTGTTACTAGGAAAGTGACACGGATCTTTACTCTTTACCCCTTCCAGGTGGTCTCCATTTCCCCTTGCTTCTACTAATGCAAGGCTTATCTTGTCAGAGACTCGCAAAGCATTAAAAAATGCATCATTTATTCGAATGGTCTACTACTTAGGAAGTTCATGGAAGACCACATTCTATCTGTAGATTATTTAATTATTATGTGAGAACCAAAAGTAGGAAATCTTTTACCAAGTATGTGGCTTGACATCAATGCCTGTTACATCAGTAGCATAGATGAAGTGTGTTGGAGTGATAGCTGTTTGTCTATTTTGGGTCAGTGGGGGACATTATTCTGTGTCAATATTTTGCTCATATTTTTTCTTTATAATTGATCAATGCCTTGCTTTAGGTCACACGCAGATAAGTTTGTGGAGGGTAATGAAAAACAGTTGACTATTGATGCTTGTTCATACAAACTGATATATTATTATCTGAGATGATTGGGACCAGACTACTTTAGATTTTTTTTTAGAAAGATTTGTGGAATATTTGAATACACGCAAACACACACACACACATATATACACACTATATATATAGGTATGTATGTAGAGAGATTTTGAGAAGGTGTATGAACTCAAAACGTGTGTAAACACAGAAACCATATTTGCTTTATGTATCCCTTATGCACAGCTTGGTGGCAATTTTAGGCAGTATTTTTTTAACCCATAGAAATACTCTAAAGATTTTCCCCCATTCTAGAAGGACCACAAGGTGTATTTTAAAGGAGTTATATTTGTTGTGGAGCTATGGTGAGCCAGGCTTTTCAGAAACTTCTTGGTGTTGTTTTTGAGAATTTGTTCCTTCCTGCCATCACCATCCAATTCACTATAAGGGTGGCTGAGTTCTTATCTCTATACATTTTTCTGTAGGCAGAACAGTGCAGCGGACTTCAGGGATTTTGGATTTTCCGGAGCTTTGGAGGTGGCACCGGGTCAGGATTTACACCTCTCTTAATGGAGCAGCTTTCAGTAGAGTACAGCAGGAAAACCAAGTTGGAGTTCTCTGTCTATCCTTCCCCCAGAATATCCACTGCTGTGGTAGAGCCTTACAACTCCATCCTCACCACCCATTCCACCCTAGAGCACTCAGACTGTACCTTCATGGTGGACAACGAAGCCATCTATGACATCTGCCATCATAAACTGGGTATCGAATGCCCCTCCTATGCCAGCCTCAATAGGTTGGTAGGTCAGGTGGTGTCTTCCATTACTGCTTCTCTCCGATTTGAAGGACCTTTGAATGTGGACCTAATTGAATTCCAGACCAACCTAGTCCCTTATCCAAGGATACATTTCCCCATCACAACCTTTGCCCCCATCATCTCTGCTGACAAAGCCTACCATGAGCATCTCTCCATACTGGACATCACGGCTGCTTGCTTTGAGTCCTCCAACCAGCTGGTGAAATGTCATCCTCAGCTTGGGAAGTACATGGCCTGCTGCCTGCTCTACAGGGGAGATGTGGTACCCAAGGACGTGAATGCTGCGATTGCATCCTTGAAGTCAAGGGCCTGTGTTCAATTTGTGGATTGGTGCCCCACTGGTTTCAAGGTGGGCATCAATCAGCAGCCACCTTCAGTGATGCCAGGAGGTGATCTGGCCCAGATCCAGAGGGCAGTCTGCATGCTGAGTAACACTACGGGCATCGTGGAGGCCTGGGCCCGGCTGGACCACAAGTTTGACCTCATGTATGCCAAGAAGGCGTTTTTGCATTGGTACATCTCAGAAGGCATGGAGCAAGGGGAGTTCTCAGAGGCCAGGGAAGATTTGGCAGTTCTGGAGAGGGATTATGAAGAAGTGGGATTGAGTTTCTGATGCCAACATGACATGTGCCACAAAGGCACCTTAAATGAAAATATCATGCTTTCTTCTCAAGCCATCATTGGCTTAGTGAGTGGAGTCCTGTTGATTAGAAGAAAACACAAACCAGTCAGTCCCAAGCCTAAATTCCGTACTAAATTATTTCTGTATTAGTAATTTGCACATGTGCCTTCATCTACAATGTTATTTAGATCTGTTACCCAAGAGCTTTCTGGGGTTTGGAGTCCTTTGAACTACTGAGGCACTTTTAGGTGGAGTGTTTTTTTGTTTGTGTTGTAGTTTCTATGTCAGAGTATAAACCCAACTTTGCTTTGTTCTTTAATGTGGAGAGTCTATAACATTCTAAAGCTCTTCTTTTCCTGTACCTGAGAAGGAAAATTATGGATGTTATTTTCCCTATGGCTATATTTGATACATTAATTAAATCACAGATATTTCCAATATGTTCTGTTTTCCTTCTTCCCAAAGTATGCCTGAAGATCTCAGTTTGTTTTTCACAAAAACCATGAAAATATTTCTGGGTTGATAAAACTTGGTTCTGGTGTTCTCCAGTTGAGAAAGTCAGTCACCTCTCCTATTCTCCTGTCATGGAGGAGACATTCTCAAAAGCCAGCATTACAACTCATGCCTGTATTCCTAGCTACTCAAGAGGGAGAGCCAACCTGGGAAGAAAAATTCTTGAGACTCTTAACTCCAACTAACCATCAAAAAGCTGGAAATGGAGTTGTATCTCAAGTGGTAGAGTGCTAGCCTTGGGCAAAAAAGCTCAGGGACAGTGCCTAGGTCCTGAATTCAAGCCCCAAGACCTGCACATGCACGCGCGCGCGCGCGCACACACACACACACACACACACACACACGTGTCTGGCAGAAGCTGTCATCTGAGTCACACCAGAGGATTGACAAAAACAGAGGTTCTGAGCGTCACTGAACAACTACTAAAGGAGAACCCTGGAGACTGGGAGGGGATTTGATATTTAAAGAGCACTTAATGGAATTAATTGTTGGTGCCAAAATGTCATTCTAAACAAGAATGTACTACAGAAAAAAATAGCTGTAAACATGCTCAAAGACTTTAGTTTGACGAGTTGGAATGAATGTGAACTAAATATTGAAGCTGCATTCTTGGATTTAGGCATTGCTTTGAGCTGACAATCAGGACTTTGCTCCTTGGTGTTGCTTTACTTTCATTCTCCCCCTTTCCTCCCCCCCCCCCCCCCCCCCCCAGCCAGGTATGTTCTCTTGGCCTCAGCACAGTAGTTTTTTTGGCCCAAGTGAAGAACTGAAGGTAGCAGGTGCTCAAGCACCAACTGGAGGAGACCTGAAGTTGTGTCTTTGTGAGACACACACTACAAGGCTACAAGCCTACAAACCATGAGCCTAGGGCTTGTACCACGTTACCTAAAAAGTGACCTTTTAAAAATGGTGTAATGAAATGTTTTAAAGAATAGTTTTAGGTTCACAGAAACATTGAGTAGAGATCCTGACCTCCATTTCTATAGTTTTCCTAGTATTCTTTTTATCTTCTAAAATCCCTCCCTGAGATGTGCTCATCAAGAATGCCACTCAAACAGCGAACCACGTTGCACATTTTCAACTGGAATAATTGCCCTCTTGGAGGGTGATGAATGCAGTTTGGGAGAAATGATATCTAGATAGTTTTCAACACCCACAAAAGCCTGGGCTTTCCTGTAGAGAAAACTGCTGGGCAGCAGTTTTGCTTAATCCCCTGTGGACGCTGTGTTCCAATTTGTACAGACCAAGTTTTGGCAGAGGGCTGGCTATTAACATTAAGACAGCCTCATGCTAAGGGGTTTTAAATGCGCCTGTTTGGACATGTGTCAGGATTTCAGGTATAATGATAGGAAAAAGAAAGTGCTCTTTAGTTTGTTTTTTTTTTTGTTTTTTTGCTTTGATCAAGCATTAAGAATAAAGTAAAAATAAAAACCAAAGGAATGATTTTGTGATCTTCACTTCCAATAGGGATTGGCATGGATTGCTGGCTCATTATTTAACCATGGGAAGAAAACCTCTATAGCAACTTGTTCTAGAGTTCACAGTTTTGTTAGACTTTTTTTTTTTTAATTAAAAAAAAAAAAATTCCTTTAATGTACATGGGTTGTTTCTACTATTAGCCACTGGAGGGCACTAGTGAAATACTTAAATACCATTGCTGTGTGTGTGTGTGTGTGTGTGTGTGTGTGTGTGTGTGTGAGAGAGAGAGAGAGAGAGAGAGACAGAGAGAGAGAGGGAGAGGGAGAGGGAGAGAGAGGGAGGGAGAGAGAGAGGAAGCCATAGCTTTTATTTTATTTTTATTTTTTTTTTGGGGGGGGGGTCCGGTCGTGGGGCTTGAACTCTGGGCCTGGGCGCTGTCCCTCAGCTCTTCAGCTAAAGGCTAGCGCTCTACCACTTGAGCCACAGCGCCACTTCCGGCTTTTTTCTTTTTGCTTATGTGGTACTGAGGAATCGAACCCAGAGCCTCAGGCATGCAAGGCAAGCGCTTTACCACTGAGCCACCTTCCCCTCCCAGCTTTTATTTTTTTAAAAGTCTTATAAAGGAGTTCCAGTTCACCATGTCTGTTCAAGAGGACAATGCATCTTAATGTTACCTCTCCATCATTCTCTCCCGTCTGGAAAATGTGTAACATCACTTTATAAAGAGATGTGCATGAATTTTTTGGTCTTAGATAAATGTTACTATATTGTTTAGATTGAATATAAAGTTAAAGTATTCCTCTCGCCCTTTGAGACAGATTCTTGCTATGTCAAGTTGGCCCTAAATGCCAGTTCCTCCTACCCTACCTGAGTACTGGGTTACAGGATATAATATTTTATTTTAATTAATCTAATTGTCTGGCAAACTTTATCAGGTACCCTAAATAATTATTTCAATATCTGATCGTTTAAACCACAAGTATGATAAGCACACTTACGTGTTTCCAAACTATCTGCGAACTAGTAAGAGTTTTACTTAAGATCACAAGTGCACATTTATAAAACTTACGTATTTTAATATAGGAACATAAAAATTTAACATCCATCTATTAAGCCCAATGCTCTTAAATAGTATACATTCTGCACTTTGAATGCCATGCCTCTTTATCACAGAAATTTCAACCATTCTTATTTAATTTATTATTCATAAGCACCTGACAGATGCTCATCATTGTTATTTTAACCACAGTGGCTACAACAGCAAACAAACAAAAAATTCCCACTGCCATGGAGTTTATACTTTGGGGAATGAGATCTATAAGTCAGTTATACTGGATAAGGTATGGACCAAAGCAAGTACCATTGGCTTACACCTTGTTAGGGCTTCGGGACACTTTCTCTATGTTCTGATGTTTCAGTGGAGGTCACAGAACCAGGTGGTGCTCTAATAAATAAAACCAATCAAATAAAGAGAAAAACCTCAGAACCTTGTGCATGGCTATCTTGATCAGTAATTTCCTCTGCAGGATACAGTTACATTTAGAAAACGTAAGTGGCCCCTTTTGAACCTGTCATGACATGTTGTGTGTGTGTGATCATTAGTAGAAAGCAACTCAGTCTGCTTGGGGCATGGACACTGGATAATTGGCTAGGCTTCTTCACTGAATAATTAAATTATTCGTGCACATCGGCCTTGCAGAGTAATTCAAAATTGTGTCTGAGGAAAATGGCAACTTATTATACACCAAGAACTTGCAAAAGTTGCAGTCAAAGTTCATGGAGAGCCTGCTCTCTGACTCACTAGTGGGTTGCTGGGTCTTGCTATTTTCTGTATATGCGGTGCAGAGGAATCGAACCCAGGGCTTCATGGGTGCTAGGCAAGCATGCTATCACTAAGCCACATTCCTAGCCCTGTCCTTTTATTTTCTAGGGGAAAAATAAAACTCTTTATTCACAGGAATTCACTAGCAAGTTGAATTGCTTGATTCTTGTGACAGGTGAGTGCGTTCCTGTGCTTTCTATCTGTCCTTTCCTAACTGAGGAGAAGGCAGGAGGATCCGGCATTGGTTTTCTTCCTTTTAAGAAAACAGGAATTGACACCAATTCTCCTTTACCCCACCCACAGGAGGGTCACACAGTGAAGTCATGGGGAGGGGCGGTAGTAGATAAAAAGCAGTGTTAGTCTTTGGATGGGGGTATGCATTGCTGATGTTAGGAGCATATGTCCAGAGGCACTGTTTGTTTGCAAAGCAGGGTTGATTTTTGCAGGTAGAATGCAGAATTTGCTGTCCAATAGGAATTGGGGAGCTTTACCAGCTATTGCTGGCAGGTTTCAGCTTTGGCAAACTCACCCCAGTTTATTAATCATCTGTACACTACAGTAATCTATAAGGCACTGCAAAGAAGATGAATACCAGACATGCCTGTTGGGGGCATAATCTTAACCAGCATCTGCATGGTGGGCTCTTCTGGCCACTTCCACATTTCTAGTTCATATCATAGCTGAATGATAGCGGATGTATTTGGTGTTCTTTGTACGAGTCAAGGATCAGCAGCTATTCATGGAAGAATGAGAAGATTTGGGACCAGACAGATGTGACTCTGTTAATATTAAAGTCATGTTCTACCTGGGCCTTAATATCCATCTTGCACGGGAAAAATGATGACTTTGAATTATACTTGTTCAAATTAAATTCTTATAGCATTTGGTTAGAGTTCCTATCATTGGTTGCCATCTTGTAGTTTGTGTATATATATATAGATACGTATATATATATATAAATGAGTATATACATAAGAATATATTGATATATAGGTGTATATATCTATATATGTATATTGAAAACTAACTCTCTTTTATTACACATCAAAAAAGATAAAGCATCTAGCAATGCCAGGAAACATTCTACCAGTGCCGGTTAAACTGAAGCTTCAATTACTGAATAAGATGAGCTTCCATGGCTCATGCCTGTAACTATATGTACTCAGGAGGGTGAGAGCTGAGGATTGCGGCTCTCCATTTCATTTTTACATATGTGGCAGACAGTTCTCCAAATATGTCATTCATCCGTCTTTTGACTTTGTTTCTGGTGATGACGGTGGTGCTAGTTGCTGGTGTGTGTGTGTGTGTGTGTGTGTGTGTGTGTGTGTGTTACCTTACAAGTGCTTGAACTCAGAGCCTTGCTCTCT